AAAAACAAACTACTCTTTTTTTTTTTTCCCTTGAGACATGGTTTCTCTATGTCATATCCTTGGCTGTCCCAGAACTCACTTTGTAGACCAGGCTGGCCTCAAACTCACAGAGATCCACCTGCCTCTACCTCTCAAGTGCTGTGATTAAAGAGGTGTGCCACCACACTCAGCCTGAAACAAACCACTCTTAAGGTAAGCTGCATGCCAAGCAGTAGATGGCCAACAGAAATTGAACTCAATGATATCTTTGGAGACTCAAGTGTGTGAATGAGTTGGTCTCTGTTTCTTGTGTCTTCCCTTGGGTTCTTTTCCTTTTGTTTGTTTTATCTAATTCCAATGTGCTAGTTTTTGTTTTTCTTTTATTTTATTAGTATCTCATAGAAGACTGTTTGTTTTCTAATGAGACACAGAAATGGGGATTTGGATGGAAGAGGAGTTGGGTAAGAGCTGGAAGTAGAGGGAAGAGAAACCACAATCAGGATATGTTATGGGAAAAAATGTTTATTTTAAATAAAAGGAAAAATAAAAGATTGTGTGTGTGTGTGTGTGTGTGTGTGTGTGTGTGTGTGAGAGAGAGAGAGAGAGAGAGAGAGAGAGAGAGAGAGAGAGAGAGAGAGAGAGAGAGAAAGGAGAGAGACTATGTACACAGGGCATCAATTCCAGGAAAAATATGAGGAAAGATGGTAATCCAACAAGTACTTAATGAGTACTAACTTCATCAATGCTTATTGGTGTAATACTGGCACAGCTGTTGGTAGGGTAATCAACTGTTCCCTAATTTGAGATCTGTTCCACATGAGGATACATGAGGATTCATCGTACTGTAAAACTAACCCAAAACCCATGACTGAAGAGGTCTTTGACCCAATGAAGGACTTAATACTATTGCGTAGCTAAATTATCTCTCATCAAACCACCTTTTTCCAAACCAGGCAATGGCTACTTTCAGCCTTAATCAGAGAAGCTTCTGCTTGCAGTGAATCAAGGTAAATACAAAAATCCATAGCTTCCTAAGATACAGAGAATAAAGGATAGATAGTTGAGGGCTTAACCCTGAACAAGAGATTTATCCCACCCCTCTAAAGGCTTGGGGGGCACTGTAGCAAAGGAACCAGAAAAAATTCAAGAGATGGAAGATAGGGTTAAGGTCTTAGGAGTGCCATCTTCTAACCAATGCCTTGGCAACCATGAACTCACAGCAGCTTTGCCTAGTAGCATCCAGCCCATGCAAATCAAGTATTCCTACTACTCAGCTATGAATAATGAACAGGATCATGGGGGCTTAAGACTTCCTGTAACTAACAGATTCTGGGAGAGGAAGAGGTTACAAATAGAGTTGTATAGGCCCAATGGGCTCCAACGGGTATTTCCAAACCCAGGTTCACTTAGATGGCCCTGGTTGAACTCTTTGGAACACAAAATTTTAAAAAGTAATGAATAAGGGAGAGATTTGAAAGGGAGGGGTACTGGCGGGGTTTGGAGAAAAAGAAAAGAAGATGAAGAGCTAAGCAACCAGAATTCATTAGATACAGGTATGAAATGTCAGAGTATGAAATTTATTAATAAAAGAAGAACTGTACAATATTAATGATACATATAGTTGACAGTCATAGAAGTTAATACAAAAATAGTCATATACAATAATTATGATTATGATGGTAATAATAATAATTTGGTGTGATTTATGTTCTCACAAAAGACCATGTAGTGCATCATTCCATTTTCATAATCAGATTAAAATTAATTCTATTTTTATTCTCAACCTGATATATTAGAATACCAAGGTTGAAGGACACAAAGTATATTGTCTAAGTTTTGACAAAAGTTAAAAGATAAAGCCTAAATTTAATCATAGAAATACTTTAGTTCATACATATTGTCAGAAAAATGGAACTTGTATTCATTTCATAAATATCCACACTCTGTTTACACCAGTAAATAAGATACTCATTCTACATGCTGCCTTTAAGAAGCTCATGTTTTCTATCCCAGTGAAGGGCATAGAAACATAAAGTGTAAATGCACATTATTTTGATCAATCTCAAATATAGTTCAAAAAAATCACAAGTGTGAAATTAGATGATTGACAAATAAATACAGTTGTGTACATACCACTACCTTCAGCAGACCATTTCCATTACCCTCCAGAGCAACTAACTTCACAGCCCCCTGAACTCCGTCACTCTCCACTCCACACCCTCTCCTGCCAACCAGGGATCTGCTTCCTGTCACCATTCCTCATAGCCCCTCCCACAGAGGAGCAGTTTTATATAAACAAAAGTGGTACAATGTGCTGTAGTTTTTCCTAGCACAGTGGTTCTGAGAACTTCTGTGGTGTTGCAGAGTCCACAAGATCTTCATTCATGAACACTATCAAAAATATGCTGGGATTCATTTCTCCACAACCAGCTGATACACATGTAAGTTAGGTCCAGTTTCCAGTTATTTTGAACAAAGCTGCTAGGAATAGACAAATTATAGTATGGACATATGTTTTCATTTATCATGGATAAATTCCTGCAAGTGACCTTGTTGTTGCTTTGAAAAGTATATATTTTACTGAAAACGCCACATTGTTTTCCAAAGTGACTGTGAGGTTCTGAGTTTCTCACAGCATTCTGACCTCTACACTTCTCTGAGATCCATCAGCTAGATCTTTCCCCAGACCCTCACCCTTTTCTATGTTCCAGCTGCTTTCTTCCGTTAACAAGTACTGAGGACCAAAGCTAGAAAATGCCACTTGCTTTCAGCGTGCTTTTCAGACTAAGTCTCCTCAAGTCTCACCCTAATGCTGCAGCTCTTGCTAAAACTTGGGCCACCAAGTAACCTTTGGCTAATGCAAGTGTGTTGTCCTTATCCAGCACTCACTTGACTGTAGCCCTTTCTTTACTGGACAGGCTAGCATCTACATCCTTGTTTCACTCTCTGTCATTATTCCTTCCGCAATACGTTTCTTTTCTTTCTACAAATATTTAGAGTCAGGGACAGTTCTAGGTATGGGTTGGTTTATAGCAACAGACAAAAGGAAAAATAAATGCACTAAGATGGTAACAATTGGTCAAAGTGACAGGAGTCAAAGCAGATCATACATGTGTGTTCTGAAAGAGAATTCCAGGCAGACTCATCACACAGTTGAAAATTCCCAACTATTCAAGAATTCCCAACTATTCAAGAGTGCTGGCTGGTCTTATGTCAACTTGACACAAGCTAAAGTTATCTGAAAGGAGGGAACTTCAACTGAGAAAATGCCTCCATAAGATCCAGCTGTAAGGCATTTTCTTAATTATGACTGGTGGTGGAAGAACCAGCCCAATGTGGGTGGTGCCATCCCTTGCTGGTGGTCCTAGGTTTAACAGCTGGCTGAACAAGCCATGGGGAGCAAGCTAGTAAGCAGCACCCCTCCATGGTCCCTCCATCAGCTCCTGCCTCCAGGTTCCTTCCATGCTTGAGTTCCTGTCCTGACTTCCTTCCATGATGAACAGTGATATGGAAGTGCAAGCCAAATAATCCTTTTTCTCTCCAACTTGGTTTTTGGTCATGGTGTTTTGTCCAGCATAGAAATCCTACCTAAGACAGTCAATATGGCGGGCTCAGGGTGAGAAGAAAAAGTAAGAAGATAGAGTTGTGGGAAAAGTGCAGTTGTCAGACTGTGGAAATCAGTTTGGGTGAGTGTAAAGTCGCTGGTTTGGAGCGGAGGATGTATGTAACCAACAAGTAAGTTATCGTGCTAATTTGGGAGACAGATATTTCAAGTGGTAGTTGTGGTGATATATTGTGTACCCCAATATATTGTGTAATAAACTTATCTGGGGATCAGAGGACAAAGCCAGCCACTATATTAAACATAGAGGTCAGGCAGTGGTCGCACACACCTTTAATTCTATCACTCGAGAGCCAGAGAGCCATCTGGATCTCTGTGAGTTCAAGGCCACACTGGGAACAGAGCCAGGCATGGTGGCACACACCTTTAATTCCAGCACTTGAGATCTCATGTCTTGCTTGGGAAGACACACATGCCTTCAATCCCAGGAAGTGACATGGCTGGACAGAGAAAGGTATGTAAGGCATGAGGAGACAGGAACTAAGCAGCAGTTTAACTGAGACCCTCAGGGGTGAGGACTCAGAGGCTTTCAATCTGAGGATTTGTGGAAACAGGATCAACTGAGGAGTTGGCGAGGTGAGGTTGGCTGTGGCTTGTTCTGTTTTTCTGATCTTTCAGCTTTCACCCCACTATCTGACTCCAAGTTTTTTGGGGTTTTTTGTTTGTTCGTTCATTTTTTTTTTATTAATAAGACAATTAACAATTCATGTTATAGATAGTAGCTGGGTTCTGTGTATATCTTGAAGGTGTATCCACTAGGACTTACTAGTAAATTCAATGTGAGTCAGAAAGATGATTCATTTCTGTTCCCAAGTTTGAGGTATGAGCAAGTCAATACTGACTAAGAGAAGAGATCAGGAAGAACATATTTAAGGAATAAAATTCAGAAGTCAGTTCTAGGTACCTTTCTTGGTGACTTTAACATGTACATGTTATACTATGGTTTCCTGGATCTGTGGTATTCTTAGCCTCTCCTGCCTAAGATGCCTAATCATATGATCCACATGGTCTTTCTCAAGGTCTGTGATCACCAACAAGGCTGGGGGGAAGGTGAGGGGGGCAGGAGGGGGGAGAACAAGGGAATCTGTGGCTGATATGTAGAACTGAATTGTATTGCAAAATTAAAAAAAAAAGATATCATTCCCTCACCTTTTTATCTGTAGCTCACTTCTCATGCAGTATCCCTTTTCTGGTTCCACTGGAAGATCAATCTATTGGCCCCACAGCAGAATGTTCCTCTTAAGTCTTCATTCAATCCCTGTCCCATCTTGTCAGTAACTTACCGTCACTATGACAAAATACCTAAGAGTATTTTTGAGCACAGCTTCAAGAAGTGGCCAAAAGAAGAAAAGTATGTTATGACTCATAATTGTAGAAGTTTCCACTTCTGGCCACTTACCTTCATCCCTATGGATCTACAGCAAAGCAGAACATCATGGTGGGGAGGGTGTGGCAAGACACAGCTCTTCCTAAAGTAACCACAAATGAGAGAAAGGGGGAAGGAGGGAGGAGAGAAACAGAGAAAAAAGAGTATAAAAACCATTAAGATATAAGCTCCCAAGAGTCAACTCCCTTCAATTTGGTCCAGCCTCTTGAGCATCGGTCACCTCCCAGTTACCCTTCAGATTATGAATCTACAAACAGGTTATTTCACTGTTAAGGTCAGAACTCTAATGAAGCAACCACTCCTGGGCCCATTTCTGAAACTTGCTACATTGGGGAACCAACATATGAACCCAGAAGCCTTCGCAACATTCCATAGGTAGGTCATGCCACTTCATGAAGCTGTGCTCACAGTTACAGGGCACTCTTGCTCAACCCCTCTGCTTAGTTTCTCCTTCTCTTGTCCTATTCCATAGAACAGAATAACTCGGTCCCATTAAATGCATTGTTGCTACACCTAAGTGAGGATACACATAAATAAGGATATTGCTAAGGTAAACCATCACCGGTCTCATTTTAAACTTATGAGCACGAACTTTCACCTGCCAGACAACCGCTCAACCCTGTTTACCAAACCTTGGCTTACCTCTTCATTAAGCATATTTTCTCACTTTGTGGGATACCAGTTTTTTTCTTCCTAGATCTTAGAACAAACACTAACTCCTTTTCTCCAGTTCTCAATGAATGAGGGTTTTTTTTTTTTTTAATGCAAGTATGTTTTCATGTCCCCAATCTTTCTAAAAGCAAGTCTACTACCCTGCATTCCCCTGTCTGAACATTTCTGGCTTGTTTGTTTGTTTGTTTGTTTGTTTGAGACAGAGTGAGAGACTGTCCTGACTGTCTTGGAACTTGCTTTGTAGACCATCCTGGCCTTGAACTCACAGAGATCTGCTTGTCTCTGACTCCCAAATGCTGGCATTAAAGGTATGTACCACCTCCCCCAGCCAGCTCTTCTTAAGTGGATGAGTATTCCTGTTCCCATCTGCCTTGGTCTACTTTTTCTGCTGTAACAGAATGCATAAAATCTCATCATAGAAGTTTTGTAGGAGCCTGTGAGCAGCATGGCACCAACATCTGGCAAAGGCCTGCATGATAGGAGGGCATAGGAGACAAAGAGGACGGGTGTGAGTGAACTTAACACTTCCATCAGAGACAGTCTCACTGTGGTTGATGCAATCCTGTGATAATGCAGTATTCCATTCATCGGAGCAGAGACTTGTGACCCGACCACCCTTTGAAGGTCTCACCTCTTGATACTATTACAATGGAAATTCGACTTCACAGTAAGTCTTGCAGAAGACATGGGAGCCAGAGGACTGGGGACACTTTTTTTTTTACCTGAATTCTACCTGTTCTCACATGCTAAATGATGGGTGATGTTGCGATTATCTCTTCTGCAATAGCATTTTCTCACTACTTAAATCTTTATACTTACGCATCTCTTAGACTTTTCCCAACAGCATTCAAATGTATCCTAATAAAACCACCATAAAATGTTTTCCCTCATCCCTTGTCACCAGTTAGCTGCTGCTTCATTTCTTATTTCCCTTAAAAACATATTTCCTCAAAAGCACAATTCTAGATTCAGACTTTTCTTTTTGTCTTACCCGTTTTAGATAAAAAATAAAAACAAAATACCCTCTTCATCTTGCCACTGAAAATACTCCTTCAAGGTCATTAACAAGCTTCATCTTGTCAACTTTAGTGCCCAATTATCTCTCTCAGCTTATTAATTATACAAAAGCTCCATGGCATTTGAAAGCACTTTTCTTTCTTCTTAAATTTTAGACAAGGTCTTACTATACAGCTTTAGCTGGCCTGAAGCTCGCCATGTAGCCCAAACTGCCTTTCCTCCCCATGTGTGATGATTATAGGCATATGCCACCACACCCAACTAATCACTTCTTTTTTAAAGGTTTCTTGGGCACCACCTTTACATAAATCCTCTGGTATGACAGGGTTGCTTTCTCAGTCTCTCTGCAGCATCTGCTTAACAGAACCTGATGCAGGATTGCCTAGCATCCTCTCCCCACTCTCCTGGGACACTGTACTCTGCCCCAGTGATAACAATAGTACCCATGTGCAGTGTTTCACAGAGCACCAGGAGGCCTCAGCTGGTCACGTAATAGGCATCTCATTCTGAACATGGCACTAACAAAACTCCTTATAGTCATCCACTACTCTCCCCACCCCTCAGTGCACTCAAACCTACTCAATTACTTTATTAGTTTGTTGGTGAACGTAAAACAAAATACTACTGTGAAGATTAAACAAAATATATTTTCTTTTCTCTTGATTCTTGAGACATCTAAGATCAAGATATTGGCAAGTTAGTTCCTTTTAGAGCCTCTCTGAAGGCCTTCACATAGCTGCCATCTCTCCGTGTCTTTATATGATCACACTTTAGTGCACACATTCAAATGGCGTCTTTCCAGGCCTTTTGAAAAAACTTCACTTTAACTTGAACACCCATTACTGGAAGAGCTTTACTCCCCAGATGCTGAGTTACTGCTGTTGGAATTTTACCATGTGGATTTGGAGAGAGAACACATCACTGCAATAGGTCCTCAACACAAAACTTTAGTCCTTACCCCTATTCCTGTTTTCCTATGTGTGATTAATAAGTCATGACGTAGTTTCAATAACATATGAAATAAGAGCACATAAACTATCCACAGATAGAACCAGATCATAATCTAGATTCCTGTGTGATGTGTCCATTTTGATACAGAGTCTTCCTCAAACCTCAACCATAGTAACGTATAGTAACAAGAAAAATAAAATAATGAATTTCTTCAATAGCTTCCCAGAGCTCTCAGAATCCATTTTGCATCTTCCCACCATTGCCCACATGGTCTAATGTCTGTCCCTCTCAGTCTAGCATTACTATGTTGCTCTTTGATTGCTATATTCTATGATGCTGGCTTCCTTACTAGTCTTTATATACAAGTTACAGCCATGCCCCACCTAACGAGGGTTCAATCAACAATTAACTCCATATGCGATATTTGTCCCATAAAACTGTAAGAGTAGAAAAGTGCTGGTTAATCTACATTGTCCGTTTGACAGTATTTATAATTTCCTAAGAGATAAAGGGGAAGAACTGCCTTGAGTGTGGGTGGTGCCATCCCTTGGGCTATGGTCCCATACTAGATAAAAAGAAGCCGAAAGCGCAGCAGCATTCCTCCCTCTATTCCTGACTGTTGGTGTAATGTTATCAGCCACCTTACACTTGTCTGGCCACAGCTAGAGCTGTTGCCACCACCAACCCTTTCTGCATAATGAACTGTACCCTCAAACTATGAGCCACAGTAAGTTCTCCCTTCCCAAAGTTGCCTTTGTTGTGTATGTTGTCACAGCAATGAGAAGAGTTACTTACATCTGCAGTGACATCATAGTCGTCACATTATATTGTGGGTTTTGGTGATGCTGGTGATGGTCATTGGTCCATGGCTGTAGATGTATCACTGTTGTGGGGTGTTTGTACACTGTGTGAAATGTATTGCTGTCATAGGTGCAATAAAAATCTGAATGGCCAATAGCTAGGCAGGAGGAATAGGTGGAACTTCAGGAGACAGAGAGGACTCTGGGAAGAAGAAAAGGAGAGTTGCCAGCCAGATGTGGAAGAAGCAGCATGAGCAGTACAGAGAAATGAGTTAATGAGCCACGCTATAGAATGTAGATTAAAATAAATGGGTTACTTTAAGTTATAAGAGGTAGTAGGACAAGCCTAAGCTAAGGCTGAGTTTCATAACTAATAATAAGTCTCCATGTCATTATTTGGGAGCTGGCCATATAGAGAAAGACTCGTTACATATCACACTAATTATTTCATTGTCATCATTCTTCCACACTGTTCCTTTCCCCTCTTCTCATGATGTCAGTCCTATTGAATACAGAAAGCATCATGGCCCAATTTGACCTTATTACAATTACGTCTTTAATGCCAATATTTTTTTCATTTTTTTAATTAAGAAATTTTCTACTCACCCTACATACCACCCACAGATCCCACCTCCTCCCTCCTCCCACCTCCCAGCCCTCCCTCCCAAGCCACCCCACATCCCCACATCCTCCAAATCATGGTCTCCCATGGGGAGTCAGCAGAGAAGGTTAAATTCTAAGGTACTGGAGGTTGAGACTTCCTTTTTGGGAGGATCATAATCCAACCCATTGTCTGTGATATTGGAGAGGAATATCGAGAGAAGGGAACATGAGTCCCATGGCATATCTTATCTCTTCAAATTATCCAGAAGGACAGATGCATTCAGAATGCTCCAACATGCAAGACAGGGAGTAAATTTAATATGGATTCATTGACAATGCAGCATTACAAAGGATTTTACAACCTTCACCAATCAAAGGCCAGCAACAGCTGGCTTCCCCCCAGTGCCAAGTCAGCTTTCCTAAACTTTTTATGGCTGGCTTTTCAGTGGGTGTTGATGCTTTCAGAATATTAAGCAGTGTTTAGTCACTTTCTCAGGGAGGGCTTCTCATTGTGGTTTCTAAAAATGTGCTGAATGTGTTTTCAAGGAGAAAAAGCACCAGAGGGCCTTTGGTGGGGCAGGCTAAGCCTTGTAATCACAAACAGATTGCAGGGATTCCTGGTTCTGACTCCAACAGCCAGCAAAGGTCCCAAACACCAGTTGACAATTAGCTTGGGCAAAATCACCATCTGATGACACTTATACTGGACTCATCCAGCTCTGCCCAATCGTTAACTATCCATGGGACTGGATTTGGTAGCATGGCAGGGGGACCTAATCTTCCCAAACTTGTGGTCTAGAAACCATGAAAGTCCTGCTTGGGCGGCCAGTAAAAAGCCCCTTCTAGAGAATGTTGCTCTGAACCAAAGCAGAACTTCGGGCCTTCCCCTCCATGTATCCTATCCCCTTGAAGACGTGATGAGCTCTCACATCTACTACAATTCTACAGTTCATAGCAGAATCTGACCTGTATTCACATGAAAAGACATGCGTATTGGATGGACTCAGGGGTGGTGTAGGGAAAATTAGCAGGACAGAAT